AAAAGCCAAAATCTTATACAAAGCCATCTTTAGCCAAAAGAAAAGAGAAAATGGGGCACAGAAATATCTACCAATTGTAAATAAAAAACGCAGTAAGCAAGGTGTCACACATTTCAATATCAAGGAGGCCAATCAAAAACTTTTTTTCTTTATATTTAGCTTCAATGTATGGTCGTGACTCGTGACAAGAACATTGAATCGGAATGGATTGCTCATGAATTAAAAGAAATTGACAGTATAAGTAAAGAGATGCCCGGTCGTAATAGATAGAACGATTTTATTTTATTTTACTTCATATTAAGTAAAATAAATAATAATATATAATTTCATGATTCACAATTAGATGAAAATCAAACTTCCAATATATATAGAAAATTGGAAGAATAAAAAAGGAAAGAAGAGAGTAAATTTACTGTTTCTATGTTGTGGTAGAAGACGTTGCAGGCAAAGTAGTTGCACCACCACCGCCACCTTCACCAACTCCACCGCCTTCACCACTATCAATGGTTTCAGTACCGACAGTAGAACTAGCACCAACCGGCATAGACACTTCAGATGCACCACCGCTGACGGCGGCAGAGGCGGACCTTTTCCTACGTTTCTTCTCATAGGGTATTCCTCTGGCCTTTGTCTGACTTTCTTTCACTTCTCTAAGATATAACCTCACGGCTTTAGCCCCAAAAGGATTGGTCTCCTGCCGACCGCCGTTCTCTTCATACGCTGCCCGGAGACGGCCGATTATGGCATCCAGGCTGCCCCAAGCCTGCTTCGAAGGGCACGGACAGGGGGCGGGGGGATTCGGGTGGCCGAAATACGGACAGCCTGTTACGTGTACCTTAGTTTTCCCGAACTGGTCTAGGTATTTCAAGAATTCAATCACGTGAGCCCCGCTGCATTCGGCTAGCATCAGTGGTGGCTTGTGGTTTTTTAAGTATTGTAGGAAAGTATTCCAGTCTCGACGCTTCTGCGACTCGTAGCGACTCGGGGTTGCCTCCGTTGACCCGCTTCCGCCATCGCCCCTGCCCTCGGCTGTGCCTCCGCTGGTTGACGATGGAGCCGTCTCCCCTCCATTCGGGTCGTTACCTCCCCCTCCTGTTGCTGAATTCATCAGTTTTTTATGGTTCGAATGTCAGTTTATGTTGATCTCAAAATCTGAACGATCCAAAATGGCTCAACAGTGAGTACAGCTCCGCTTGTCTCCCCTCTCTCTCTCTCTCACACACAAAGTGCTTGATGTTTGACTCTTATGGATGCGGATTCTGTCACAAATCACACTGAATTCCTTGTAATTATTGGTTTATTTGGCTAATGCTTTTGGGACAATAGTTTTTTCCTGGATGCAATGTGAGGTGTGTGTGAAAAAAAAAAGAAGAAAAAATAAAGAGAGGGAGAGAGAATTTGATGGGACGTATACAAAACATAAATTAATTGGACGAACAAATGAGAGAGACGACCCTATTTACTACTACACTAGTCTAGAGAGGGAAATAGATAGATACATATATGTATATAGAGAGATAAGAGAATCCGAGGGAGTTTGAAATGGATCAAGAGGAGGG